GTGTGCTCTTCCGATCTCCCCAAAACCCCAAAACCCCTTAAGCCTACATATTCATTTGAATTTGTATTTTAAAAATAATTATAAATACAGATTAATATGAAAGCATAGACTTCAGCTTAAAAGATAGATGAGCTAAGAGGCTAAGCAGAGAACAAAAAATGTTTCGATTGCCATGAAAAGGTGAGATTTGAGAAAATTGATTTGTATAGGGGACTACATACATTGTTCTTGAGTATGGAGTTTTTGTCTGTTCAACTTGCTCAGGAATACATAGAGACATGACTCATAAAGTTAAGGGAATTGGAATGTCTAATTTCACTGACAAGGAAGTTGAATTACTTACTTAGCGTGGAAATAAGGTACAATTTCTTTACTTAATTAAATAACTCTCGTGTCTTTCTAACACAGTGTCTAATTCTCAATATAGAAAGTCTAAGAAACTCTGATGGGGGAATATTCCTCCAAGTTATATCCAGAGCCAGATAAGAAAGACTAGCTGAAAATGAAAGAGTTCTTTAAGCTTAAGTACACTTAGAAGAGATTTGAGAAGAAATAAGATGACTCTGATTCAGATGATAGTGACAATGATAAGAAAAAGGGCAAAAAGTCATCAAAGCATGAAGAGAAGAAAAAAGATAAAAAGAAGTCCAAGAAGCATAAAGACTCTTCATCTAGTGAAAGTGATAGTGACAATGAAAAAAAGAAGAAAAAAGGAGCAGCTAAAGATGAGGAAGAAAAAACGCCAAAGGTTAGTTAAGGCTTGAAATTCCCAGCTGCCCCAGGAAGTAAAAAGCTCTCAGCTCCTACTCAATAATAAAGCAATCAAAATGCACCTGTAATTTAAAAGTCAGCAACATAGACTAATATATAAGCTTAGAGTAATTTGCTAGATCTTCTCGAAATGAATACACAACCATTGCAAAATAGTTCTAGTCAAAGTTTTCTTAATAACGGTACAAATCAATAAGTAGATAATTCAGGTGGGGAAGGTTGGTCTAACTGGGCTTCTTTCGAAAATACATAACAAACTCAACCCTAGGTCTAAACTTTCACTTAATCATAAAACTAATAGCCTGTTCAATAACATCAGCAATAGTAATAGGTTTAATAAAATAGAAATAATCAAAATATTGATATTGTAAATAGCTTATCATCTCTATATCCCCAAGGATCATAGCCATTACCCTCTAAAACGAACTTCATCCCAGGTATCGGAAGTAAATTATTAACTGATGATCCATTTTAAGAGGTAATTTTAGAATAATAACATCAATAATGGCTTACTAAACAATAATAAGCAATACAAAACTAATAAACTTAGCAATAATAGCTACACAGCTAATAAAATTAGGCTCAAAATTCATTTATTGGGCAGTAAGTACCCATTGGAAATCAATAAAAGCTAGGCAATATTTAGTAGCCCATAGGATTTTAGTAGCCCTAACCCTAAAATGTCAATCCACTATAACTTCAATAGCAGCAATAATTACTACAAATGCAAACTTAAATGGCTTAGCTAATGCAGTAATCTTAGAATAACCCTAATCAATAGCAAATGGCAATGATGTCTTAAATGCAGCAAATGATTCTGATGATGTAAAACATGATGACAAGCACTACTGTTTCTAATCCATAGTAGCAGACATAAGCCTAGCAACTTCAATAATAATAGCAATTGCAGCAGCAACAGCAGCAGTAGAAAAGTCATAACCCCCAAGATAATATGTTCTCTGACTTATTCAAAAGTGCGGCAAGTCAACCACAATTTCATCAACAAAAACTGTAAAATAGCGCTTCAACTGATCAATTCAATCCCTTTAATAATTTTGGAGGCCCATAACTTAATCCTAATGGATCTTCAAATGGTTTTAATCAGAATTAGTAGCCAGGGATGTATGGTCAATTTATGGGTACACAAGCAAACGCACACATAAATTAATAGAGTAATCTAAATGGTGGAAGTTCATCGCATAATCCTTTTGATATGTTCAACTGATCACTATTCAATGCCTTATTAGTTATTCTCTAATTGTTTTCTTGCATAACATTCTCATAATTCTGCATTGTGGGGTTTTGGGGTTTTGGGGTTTTGGGGTTTTGGGGTTTTGGGGTTTTG